TGTGAAGGCAACAGAACTTACGTAACGCATACGGTTTTTTTTTTATAGTTTTTCATTTCTCGATGCGTCCTTAAAGTGTCGGAATATACCGCGTTTACCCTAAGAAATTATTTTGGACTAAATCAGAAATTGAAGTTAAAGCTTAAGCCTGGTTCTTATTTTTTACTAAAGAAGTTGAGAAAGGCCTGTATGAATGGGTAAAATTGGCCAGCACATGATTTATGGGTAATTTAGGTCAATTCAGAATTTCCTACATGTGGCTTCTGAGTTCTGCCCACTGGCCACTGCCCAGGCCCCAGGGCAGTATGGAATTCTGTATAGGTAATATATTATCATGTTAACAAAAGATGTATCAAAAAATTTACCACCTTACACCTTCCACCAAACTTGACTGAAGTGACAATTGATACTGAATTACTCATACTCTAACAGTACACGGAGCTCGTCAGAAACTGCGGACACCCGGACAGCTGCACTTCCTCTAACTCGCCCATACCCAGGATGGTGCCGTTTTCCGCGGATTAATCCGGCGTAAACGAGGCTCCAAGCCCTTCTACTGGCGTACACCGCGGCGTACAAAGAGCTAAAATAAGGTTATTGGCGCACACGCCCGGCGTACGTCCGCATCTGGCTTGTCCCAACGTACCGTACGTCCGCATCTGGCTTGTCTTGGCATACGTCCGCATCTGGGTGATCTGGCTTGTCCCGACGTACGTCCTCCTCTGGTTTTGAGCATTTAAGTGCATACTAATGCGTTTTATGGCGATTTAGGGCCTTCTAATGCGATCTAGTGCATTCTATGACGATCTAGTGTGTTCTATTACGATCTAGTGCCTTCTAATGCGATCTAGTGCGTTCTATTACGATCTAGTGCGCATGGTGGCAGGGAGTTATTGTGAGTACTTATCGGTCCACCGCCGTGCGTCGGTCTTAACCCTTCGCAAGGCCCCATGCCCTTGGCCCTTGGGCCTCTCTTGCAAGTTGTAATGGTCTAAACTCAACAGTTCGACCCCTATCTGAATACGGGCGTGCCACCTTTGTTTAGAATTCGAACAATTCAATATCTCACTGCAACACAAGTCAATACATTTAAAAAATTAGTAATGGAAAATATGTTGCTGGAACACTTTAAGAGACCGGACCTAAACAGAATACGATATTATTATATTATTAGTCAAGTCTCAAGATACTAATAATAAAGTAGTTCATTTGATTGCCGCTGCTAGCGCTGGCATCTGTATGTGAAGCTTCTATGGGTAATTTTAATTCAACATGGGATTATGAAGATACAACTTCTATGATGAATTTGAATCATAAACATTTACCTAATGCAAGAAATTAGCAATCAATAATTCAAGGTTATTTTGTAAGTTTTGTACCAACGGAAAAATACATTAAATACGTATTGGCAACTTATGCTAAAAAAATGCACTGCAACTGCAAACAGCTGTGACAAAGGTGTCAGAAAGCACGATCGATTCATTTGTCATTTTTGATTTCAAATCGCTTTCAGTTCTTTGGACTAGGAGCGTAAATTTTAGTCTAAAACCTATTAAAAGTTTACGTTTCTGCATGGATTTTGATGCTGTTAACATTTAAATACTTGAAAGTATCTCTGATGCAAGAAATACTGCTAAATACATTTTAATTTAGAAATTAACGTCAATCGAAATTACTGTTGTTCGGGGCTATCTTGGTCCTTGCAAACCGATTTTTGCATCAAGTCGCTTATATTAAAAATAAAATTGTTTAAGCAAGTATTTCTTGCATTAGAGATAATTCAAAGTTTGTTAATGTTAACAGCATTATAATCCATGCAGAAACATACATTTTTTATACAGATATTAAAAATTTAGGCTCCTTGACTTGTATACTATGCGTATAGGATTTCAAATCGATGCATGTGTTCAAATTCAAATAAGGCCTGCCCACGGCCAGTGTAGCTATCAGCTCAGGTGCTCAGCTGACACAGCGAACCGCCCTTTTCTTCAGAAGTAAGAAAGCTTTTGCCGGGGAAGGTGTGTTACCAGATCGGTCCGTAAAGAAGCATTGTTGGTTCAAAATGACATAAGACCATGTTCTTTTGAATAACCTATAGAATTGCACCATGATCATAATGAAGCCATTCCATCAAAATCTTGATGATGAGTGGGGACTGCTTGTATAGGTATCTATTTTTGCTGTGCAGACTTCAGGGTTTTTATGAAGATTTAGATTTTAAACCTAAAAGTTGCCAGTATTAATGAGGCTTTGTCATTAATACTACTTTTGCCTTCAAGATTTCCTGACAACTTAAATGCCAGGAAGTTATATCAATAGGTATTTTGAGACAAATATCTCTTCATGACATAATTTTTGAAGCATAATTTTATGTGTAAAATTTTGATGGTGCAGCAGTAGGCATCTTTACTCACTTCCAGGACAGTGGTGTAGGCCACTTGACCAAGTCTACTTGATTTGCTTGTAATATACAAATACTTGACATTTTAAATGTGATTTTTGTAACTAAAGTTTGTTGATCCATGAATTTCAACCCTCTAACAGAAATTTTCTTTAATCTTATTACAATTATAAGTGAACTTCTGTAATCAAATTTTTCAAGCACTAAGAATTAACTATGAATGAACCTCCTGATGTGATTGATGCTGGCAATGTAAGTAGCATTTGACTTATTTTTAGTTAATCAGAATGTGTTTGAAAGTGTTCCAGTGAATTTATGAGATGGTGTTTCAAATTTATGGTGACCCAAAGGCTATTAGTCTGCAAGCCTTTAAACTGATAGTGCAGCTGGAGCAAGACTGGCTTTAACACGTTTAGTGTGGCCACTGGGTCATAACACTGGTATGAAATATGCCCTAAATACGGCTGCACTTGACGTTATAAAATCAGTCTTGCTGCGAGGTTTAGGTTTATCTACCATTGATCATGAAATAATTTCAACTAGATTTCTGTTGCTGCAGCATTGTTTTGGTGGCTAATGAATGGTCAGTATAGTTGGCAGGGTTCAATAAACCAATTTGACCAGCATCATTTGCATTTAACGAATTTAAGAATGACTTGTTTATAATATTCTTGACATTATAGATAAGGTATAATTAATGGTGTACTATGTGCAGCAATACAAGATCATTGCTGAGGCTCTTCCCCTCTGTTCATCTGATGAGTTGCCTACAGTGCCACCTGGGGAACGGCCCTCCCTTGTAGATGCCGTCTCCTCATTTGGGCTGCTGCTGGTGGCCAAAGCTGGAACATTGATAGGTGCATGGCACTATACTTAGTATGATAGTCTGTGACAAAAATGTTGAAAAAAAATTTATATTGTCTTGGAGAAAGTTCTGTAGAGATAGTTTAGGTATCATATTGAATATATAGCAGATTATGGTGAATACATTGTCATTTGTAGTTAACTTTTTTGTTATCAACAGGGCAGTAAATTATGCTTTAAAAATTATTTGTCAATTAGAATTAAACCTCACAATAAATTTGAAGTGTTCCTATATCAGAGATCTAACCAACCATTGTATTTTTACATGTGATTAGCTCATTATTGTTCTCAATACTCAACTTGAATCACCTCATTATTCTTTCTTGGTAATTAAAAATATTACATAACAATAGATAATTGAATTTTTTCATTCTATTCGAATCTATAAAAACAAGCCTAACATTGAGCAAAGTAGAAATAAACACATGATCAGAACTGTCTTGATTTGCAGTGAAAAGAACCAGTGCATTGGTGGACAGCTTGTCTGGGGGAGATGGTGGTGTGGAGGTGTGGTGTGGTGGTCGCATCACTCATGTCACCCACACATGTGACAGTCTCTCTGTGCTGGTTATCACCATTTGGGATGATGACTGCCCTCACATGCTGTTATTTGACACAGCCACCCTCATTCAGCAGGTGAAGCTTATAAGCCTCCAAATACTTGGCTGAGCAGCACACGCATATTGTCCAAAAATAAAAGTTTTATTTATTTAATAATCAGGTTGCTATTCACAATTTTTCTATTAAGTCCCTTGTGATGTGACAAACAACTGCTCTTCCCCATTTAGAGTTCTGGGCTTCTAATGGGAACCTTATTCAATCTGGTTTATTATTAGGTATATTATATGATTATCTATTGTTATATTTATTAAATATTCATGTCTCATGGTTGCACTGCTAGCCATAACTTGATGCACAGAAAGCATAATTGAAAAACATTTGAATTATTAAATGTTTCAGTAGGTACTTCTAAGTAGACATAACTATGAATATTTATCAACCAGTATAACAATTTTTTATTGATTGTTTCATAGAAGTCTAGGGCTGCAATGCTAGCCATAACTTGATACGCAGAAGCCATACAAATAACTATGAACATTTACCCTATAGTATAACTGCTACGTATAACATTTTATTTGTGATTGTTCTCAGGGCTGCAATGCTCGCCCTTACCTGGAGTGCACCAACAGCAGCAGTGTGGGCAGTCGGGTGCTGGCGTTGGCAGTGAACCCTACAGACCCTGCCTGTGTTGCTTACTGCACTAGCACTGGAGACCTCACTGTCATCAACATTTCTAGTGACAGCGTTAATTACAACACCAAAAATAATGTTGGGGCAAGGTAACACGAAATGAAAGATAATTTTCAATTAAAGCAAGAGAACAATTATTTCTTGAACAGTCATTGAAGTTATGTATTACTTGATATTTTCTTTGAATTGTCATGATTTTTATCATTGAAATACTTTCTGAATTATTCCCTTGGTTATTATCATTGAAACAAAATAGATGTCATTGTTTATATGACTGAGCTTTACAAACCAAAAATAGCACACATTTGAACCTGTATGAAATTATAAACATTTTACTCGACTCAGTCTTCAACAATGATTTTAAATTAGTGTGAATGTGTCCTTGTCTCATCTTTAGGCATGTATCTCAGTTTACTGAATTATTATCAAAAACCAACCATCCATATCAATAACCAACCTATGTTGCCAACATTGTCTCGTTAGCAGCCTTGGATAATTACCAATGATGTTTGCCTGCTGCAAATCATTAAACTTTCATTTCTATTTATGACTTAGTTGATCAAACTGCCGCACTTCACACTTTGCATACAAGTTTTAAATCTTTGCCGGTACTGATAAATTTAGTCATAAGTTATGATCATAAGCTTTGTCTTGCAGAAAGATTGTAAGTAAAATTATAAAGCTTAAACATTTTCAGATTTTACTCATGGTGAAGAAATGGCATATTGTTTAACTCACCTTTCTACCCACGTAAGATCTCAGTACCGTATGTGCTACAAAATGCAGCACGTCAATTTGTCATTCCAATTGAAGTATTCAATTGTTTTTATTGCAGTGCTCTTGGATGGTCCGCCAAAGGCAAACAAATCTGCGTTGGCTGCATGAATGGGATGCTGTCTTTGTACAAGCCAGACTTGACGCCTGTACGTTCCATCCCACCGCCTACTTTGGATGTCACTCCTGCGCCCATCACAGCCCTTGTGTGGTTCACTAACACTGAATTCTTTGTATGCTACAGCCAAAATAGCCAAACCTGTAAGTCACAGTATATTCATTCATAGTTACGCAATTTTTTGAAGTAATGCAATGTATTCCACAATTTACCAACTTTTTTGGCTTGATGTCAAAAATGTTATTGTCACATGTGCAGGTCTGGTGTACGTGAATGGACCGAAGGGTCAGCAAGCACAGTATATAAACTACGAAGATGTTTGCTTCTCTATGGATAGCGAGGAGCCTCTGTTCTATCACCTCATCTTTGTTCCCCAGTGGTGAGACTGCAACCATTAGCATTCAAATATTTTTGTCAATTATTGACCAGTAGGTATTAATTCTATAGAGATCTGTTTACATGATGGTTGCATTATTTGTATCATTACGGTACTTCTTACAATACGTCATAGGGTACAACTTGCAACTGATGCTAATTCTTTCTTTGCACTAATTAATATTGTATTTTCTAAATAATCCTTCTTATTAGATTTGGTGTAGCATTTATTACTTTGTTCCTTTCTTGTTATTAAGGAATTATGTATAGGTAATTTGACTTATCTCTCAAATCAAGCACGTTATAATGTGTGCAACCAAGACGGAGATCAGGCTGTTAGGTGCATCTCTCACTGCAAGTTTCCAACTCAATTATAAAAAATTTGTGCAGGAACCAGCTGCTGGTGCTGTCTTCAGGAGGTATCGAGATGGCAACACTCATGAAGAGTGCAGATGGAAGCTGGTCACAACTCTCCCTAGATGAAGGCAGTCGTGCTGAGATGCACTTCATCAATGTCACTCAAGAAACCTTCCCACTCGGCATGACCCTGGACCTCGCCTCTAAAAAGACTTTCACTGTTAAAGGTCATATTACATTAGTTTGAACTTAATATTTATTTTAATTGAATTTGTTTCATGAGGAATTATGACGCATCAAACTTGCCGCACACTTGCCTGTCAGAATTTGTGTACTTAATCCCCAGTTTGAGTACATTAAATTATGATATGAATTTCACAAAAGTTTTAGTGCTATCCTTGACAATAATTTCAAAATGGATCTGCAAATTGGATTGAATTGATGATCTGGCTCTTGAATGCAGAGTTTTTTCTGATGCTAGTCTAAGTTGCTCATTGTCCAGATACCTCTTGTTAGAATTTCATTTTTAAGCCAGAATGCCAATCGAAGTTTATCAGAATAAATAACTTTAAACACGGATTTTTCATTTATTATTGCCTTTGCACTCTCCTTCTATAACCGCAGCTTCACACTGTATGGACTTTTAAATTGCCTCATTCTCGCAAATTATTTTATTAATAAATAATTTTGCGTATTAAAGCCATTTCTTTTTCGCCCATTCACAGAAGATGTCACGGAAGGCCCATTCCCAATGGTAGTATCTCTGTCTACGGGCGGGGAGCTCAACTTCTTCTACTTGTGCAACAAATTTGCCGGAGCACCCGACCTCCTGGCAGGGTTTACGCAGCAGGCTGTCACTGGACCAGTCCGCACTCCTCAACAGTATCGTTCCAACATCGTCATTCCTGCCCGTAATCCTGCACAAACCACGACAAGTGTTGATGCTAGGCAATCTAGCGACGCTACCTCCGTTACGTTTGGTGCTATGAGTTCTGCTTTTGGCGGTATTGGCTCTGCTTCTAACACCCTTGGCACATCAGCTGCAAGTGCAGGTTTCCTGCCTGGTAGCTCTGTTGCATCGGATTTTACGGCTGTTAGTGCGCCCGTCACTGGTATTGTTGCTGCAGTTGGAGGATCCACTTCATCTGCACCAGTCTTCTCAACCGGTGGTGGCTTGTTCTCTGATAGCGCAGCTCCTAAAAACAGAACTTCATCACTTTTTGGTGGTTCCTCTCTATTTGGAGACAAAGGCAGCTCCTCTACACCCTCATCATCCTTCTTTGGCGGCTCTAGTTCTCTTTTCGGTGGCACTGCCACCAAGAGCAATCCTCCGCTCACCAGCCCTGCCCCAACCAGCGCTAAGTGAGTAGCAAACAATCTACTTAATCATTGTTACACAGCACTGCAGCAACATTGTCACACAGCACTGCAGCAACATTGTCACACAGCACTGAAACATCACAGTTACCAACCATCATCACCTGAGTTGCTTCACTGCTCGGGTCTTGCGTCCCAAAAACTTCATAGACAAGTTTTTCTGCAGATTATCCATATAAAATCCTAAAAAAAGTTCTGTTTTCCATGCCGTCAGGAAAACTTTCATTTTCGTGCATTTGCTTTTTACATCCATTTAATTATTTGATTTCTATAATCATTTTATGTGTAAATTTTTGGTCAGATCTAAAACCAGTAGTATGTTTTTTTAAGTAGACGCAAGAAATTATTACCTCATGCTGTGTGGAAGTTTTTTAAGTACAACTGGCTTATTTAAGTTCATTATTGCAGGAGCACATTTGGTGGCGGTGATCCAGCTTCCTCTTTCAGCTTTGCTGTTGGAGCATCTGCGTTCTCCGTGCCTGGTAAGAACACCATTATTAAGACAGACTTTCTCGCAAGCTACAATCAATTTACGTTAATGTGTTATTATTTCAAGCAAGGCTCATAATCTCAGGCAAATAAGACGTGGTCTGCAAAGATGTGGTCTGCAAATAAGATGCAATCTTTATCCAATTCGAAACACATTTTTAAAATGCAATACAGGAAATATATTTTTGAAACAATTATCGTGAGAAAAACTTGACTGCTAGACTGTTATTGCTTCTTAGTATGCGCATGAAATTCAACGGCTCATTATCAAAGAATAACGAGAATATTTTTCCAGCATCCCAGCCTAGCGGAGCTCCCTCACCAAGCCCTGGCCTAAACCCTGCCGGTAGCAAAGGTTTCTTCAGCACCCCTGCTGCAGTGCCAGCTTCTCAATCCATTCTCTCTAGCCAGCCTCTCCCAGCCACCCCAAGTACTCCCCGCCTTTCCGTCACTTCCAATACTGTTGGGATCTCTGCTGGTAGTATCAGCTCATCCACAGCTGGTGGTGTCAGCTCATCCACAGCTGGTGGTGTCAGCTCATCCACAGCTGGTGGTGTCAGCTCATCCACAGCTGGTAGTGCGGCCAGCACTTTTGCTGCAGTTACTTCAGCTTCAGTCATGCGGCCAACAGCAGCCACGAGTAGAGCGTCCGGAGCAGTAGTACAACAGGCAACTGCTGGGTGCAGTAACCGTAGTGTTACTCACGAGGCAGCAATTCTTGCTCAGTGTATAAAAGAGCAGGATCTTTTTGAGGCTGAGCTCCATGACCATTTTGCGATGTGTGAGCAAAACCAGTATAAGGTGAGACTTTTGGCTCAGGGTAATCGCATGTCTATGCTATTTCTTATTATCAAGTTTTGCTACACAAAATTTTTCGGTATAGTGATTCATGATTTTGTCTAAAAATATATGCGGATAATTTGGCTTTAAGTTTGAATATATATAAAATATATTTGCTTTATATATAAAGTTTATAATGTATATTATAGAGGTGATTATGTCACGATACACATTGTTTTTATTTTATTTTGTACAGGGTGCTGACTGAATTATGTTGCAACGGGTAGAAATTTTGTTTTTTCATGGAAATGATAATGTCATCAGAGCCGCACATGATAAGAATTGTTATATATGTACACTGGATTGATTACTTATTTCCCAATATTTGGCAGGGCGGATGGCAGCAATACGACGCGGTACAGGAAGCCCTGCAGTCCTGCAGCAGGGAGCTCGATGACCGTCAGCAGGAGGTGTCTGGTGTCAGCGACTCGGTCGCCAACCTTCACCACGAGATCCTCGAGTTCTACTCTGCCTTCGAGACAGTCAAGGCTGCGGTGCAGCAGCTCAAAGATCCAAGGCTAGTTAACCTTTGTCAAAATGCCTAATTTTGCAACGTTATAATCGTGTCTAGTTGTGTTACCGTTGTTCCTTTGTAGTCCAACAAGGTTCAAGAAGCTTTTTGTCTGCTATGATTATGTAATTCAATACTATATAAAACATAACCTTTTTGAAAGGTATTTGATGTAAAAAGCTGATATTCTATTTTATTTTCTGTGTTGTTTCAACTAGCAACTAATTAATGGGACCCTTCAGTTGCAAATTTCTGTAGCGTTTTAGGAATTTGAGTTCTGAAACTGAAAGTACTTACGTCATTTTTATTGACTTTTCTGGAACTGCAATGCATGCCCCTCACCGTTGAGATCAGATAGCCAGAACTGATTTCGCAGTTCACAATTTTTCTCTTCAAAAATAAGTTTCCCAAATTTTTTTGACTTGCCATTGTTGACATTGTTAAGCAAAGTCCGTTGTTACAACGCTCTTGTAAATTACAGTATAAAAAATTCTCTCTCCTTCAGTCGGAAATTTTCAAATCGCAACCGGGTAATGCAAACCTTCTTTTGTACTAGGAACTCATTAAAATAACTTATTTGCCGCAACAGTTCCAAGCAGCTAACAATTACTTGTTCAATGACAATTACTTGTTCAATTATTAATGCATTCTTTTCAAACAAACGTTTGTTAGCCAGAATGAAATGTAACTGAGATATATTCATTCAACTCCAAAAGTATAACAAGGAGTGTTAGTACAAAATGTAACATATAGATCTACATTTGTTCAACTCTGACATAAGAACAGGGTTTTCTCGTATTATAATATGTATAGTGACTGCTAATGTTTGGTTCAGATGCGCAAGTGTGAGCGAATGGCGCGGGCTGGACCGCAACAGCGAGCGGCAGCTGCAGCAACTACGGGACCAGATGCTCTACATCAAGCGGGAGCTCCCCTACGCCAACGCCACGCTCGACAGCCTGCCTACCACCGCCACCAGCAGTACTCGGCAGCGGCGTGCCATCGATGACAGGTCTCTTACATGAAGACGCCTTGGAAATAAACAGTTCTTGCTGTTTCCTTCTTAAATACTGAGAGGAATGTTGAAATACATAGCCCTAATACTGAGAGGTGGCTATGCAGCTGATACAATTGTTTTAGACAGCTGCATGTAAATAATATGTCGCAAAAATTCAAGTTGCAAGCGATCAACAGGTGGAATGTTAAGTTTTCAGTAATGAACTACGGTATCATAAATCAATTGAGTACACATAGCGGCCGTGTACACATAGCGGCCGATATATCGTCTGTGATTGGTAGGTAAGCTTGAATCGTCATCAGGGATTGGCTGGCAGAATTGAGAACTATTAATTATTTCTTTTTTATTGTACGGCCGCTGAACAATTCCTGGTTCTTCAGAGGAGGAGCGACGAAGGTGTACCGCGCGGTGCAGCTCAACCACACCGCCAGGGTCTCCTGCGAACGGCAGCTCGACCAACTTGCCTCCAAGCTCAAGAAACTCTCCGTGCTGGGAGGCCAGTTTCCCTTGAAGCCGTAAGTTTCATTTATTACAGTATTATCTATGCATTCATCACAGATTAATTCGCATCTCAGACACTGAAATTTTTCAGGTGTTTGATGCTATAAACACACCTGATTTATAACGTATTATAGATTTTTTACTTATTTAATAACAGGGTTTCAAATGAAACTCCTTTATGTCACATAAAGATAGACGTTATTGAAATGATAGCATTTGTAAGGACTTAGTGTGCATCTATTATTACGAAGTATGTGCGCAATATTTAATCAGTGTTAAGAAAATAAATGTGATTATTACCCTAGGGTTGTAATTGTCTAGGATCGTTTCAAATACAGAAATAAAGAATTACCTGTTTTCCAATTTCTTGGCCTCTATATTCGGCTGATTACTTGCAATCAACTATACTAATTCTATCTCCTTGATTAAAGGTTACTTTCCACGTATGCAGCATTTTTGTGCGATTAGAACTGACAATCGAATCACAGACCAATCTTTACCATAGATTATGAATTATCAGGAGTGCACGTATGTTTTATTTCAGACCTGCTAAGCCCTCTGGTCGGTATGGCATCAGCGACGCAAGTCTCTTGGTTGACGAAGACAAGGAAAACCTCAGCACTGATCTAACCGCTGAGAAACAACAGCAGCTCTGGACTTTCTTACAGCGCCGGGGTAACACCCCTGTTAGGTTGGTGTTAGTCTAACTCACCATATGTTTCCAAACTATTATTCTATTTCATCATTCAATTTGTGAGAGAACCGCTTGACAACCCGTGTAGCTCTTCATGATCCAATCAAAATTAATGACTGATACGGCTTTTTCAAGCTAGCACTCCTTATGCTCAATGCAATTTCGCACTTAGTTTCTTTTGCTAGACTCTTATATCAATTTACCGTTTTAAATATGGGAATTGACCTTCCGTGATGTAAATTTTCTGTTCAACAGGAAGAGCGGCGAGGCAGCTGTCACCCCATACACCGCTCGTGGAGTCATAGCTTCCAAGTCTGCCACTCCTCTGCAGCCGCGTCAACTGCACACACCAGAGACGTCGCTCATGTCGCTTAGCTTTGGTCCCACCAAATGCTCAACTCCTGCTGGTGCTGATGCCGCGTCAAAACAACAGCCATCAGCAAAACTTAACTTTGGATCCAGCCAAAGTTCAGTTCTCCGTCAACCCAACGTCGTCGCGGTCAGTTAAATTTGATTCCTGCATTGTGCTAACTGAGCCGTACTATTTTCCTCTTACTTCTCATTTATCACGGTATTTATTTAGAAATAAAATCTAAGATGTTTTTTTTTTTTCTTCTCAGGTCGGGATCCCTGGGGTGACTGTTAAAGCCGAACCTACGGTGGCGCAAGTCAGTGCAAGTCCCAAGTATGAAGACATAACACCTCCTGGTACTCCAGAGAACGGGCATGACGGTCGAGACCTCGAGAAGAACGATAGACCTGTGACATCAAGCAATCCGCTCTCTGCTCTCTCATCTCTTGTGGGCAAAGTCCCGCCCAGTTTTAACATGAGCGAAATCCCTCAAGTTTCTCATGGCCAATTACCAGAAACTCCAAAAAATTCTAACATTGGTGGAAATTTCAGTGCATTTGCCTCTGTCAAACCCGGGTTGAATTTTAATTCAAATTCGGGGAACGAGTCTAAGAATGTTTTCGGTACATCTTTCCTTCAGCAACCTTCTGTAGGCTTTTCATCGAGTCTATCTACGACCAGCTCGACAACTGTAACAACCTCAATGCCATGTAATGTCTCTCCTGCAAGTACCTCGATACCTGCTACGTCTACGACGGCCCTCTTCTCTGCCAATGTATCTGGTGGTGGCAATCGTTTGGGGGAGAATTCAGAATCCAGTGGGTTCTTCAAATTAGAGGGTGGTGAAGCGACCCTTTTTAAATCCACTCCAGTTTCCCTCACCACGACAGCATCCACTGTAGCTAGCCATCCTTCAGACATCAGCTCTTCTAGCAACACTGTAATGTTTGGTGGAAGTTTGTTTGGAAGCAACAACTCCAAGACTAGCTTATTTACCAGCACTGGGGCAGTTACCTCGCTTCTCAAAAGTGTTAGTAGCCCTAGTCCATTTGGTGGAACTTTGCCCAAGAACAGCAACCACCCGTTACTAACAACTGGTGGCGAGACATCGAGTCTTACTCTGACTCCAGTGGATCCCACTTCTCAAGCTACTACTGCTGTGAAGACTCAAGACTTCTCGAAACTGTCCGTGAGTATCACACCAGTGTCAGAGGTGACCAACCCTGCCGACTCTGCATCGTCTTCATCTTCAAGTGCCGATGCGGCTGCCTCCACTCAACTCTCAGCTGTTGCCAGTTCAGCGCCGTCTTTCGCGATTTGCTCGATAACTTCTTCAACCAGCAAAGATTTGACTGAAACCAGCAGCACTGGAATCGTAACGGCGTCGCAACCAAGCACTCCAAAAATGTCAGGATTTGGTGCGACATTCAGCACCTCAGGATCTTCCACTCTCTTTGGAGCACTCACATCAATGCCCAGTACTAATGTATCTCAAAGTGGCGCATCACAGCCTTCCGCTTCCTCTGCTGCTACAAGCTCAGTCTTTAACTCTACCCCCTCTGTTGCTGGATCAGCTGCTAGTGCACTTGGACTATCTTCAAGTTCAAATCTGCCTAAATTTACGGCATTTCCACCAACTTCCTCATCATCGACTGCTGGTGTTACCTCAGGTTCTCTTTTCAAACCAGCCACACCTTCAAGTCCCACTGTGTTAAATGTACCGCAAACTTCATTCTCTGTTTCATCTGCCCACTCGGCTTTCAGTCTACAATCTTCTACTTCTTCAGCTGTGGGTATTCCATCTTCAATGGCCTCCCTTTTTGGTGCTACGGCATCAGGAGGTGTGACAATTACCACTTCGACATCTGTTTTGGTACCTTCGTCTACGTCTGCCTTTGGATCACCATTGTCATCTGTCTCTGCATCTGGAACTGCCTCAAACGCTTCAGGAGTCACAACTGCTTTTTCTTCTGTTAACTCTCTCTTTAAATCTCCAGAAACCTCCTCATCTGTCATTGCAACGACCACCGGCACGTCTGCGTTTGGAGCAAAAGTGACATCTCCTACTTCATTATTTGGAACTCCTTCGGCTTCTGTGTTTGGAGCACCAGCCTCGTCAGCTACTTCTCTGTTCTCGGCACCTTCGTCCACCAACTCTTTATTTGGAACAGCTATTTCGTCGTCTAATTCTCCATTTGGGGCTCTTCCCACTACCTCGAGTTCAATTTTCAGCTCTCCAGCACCGTCAAGCTCAGTTTTTGGTCAACCTCCTGCCACTTCTAGTTCAGTGTTTGGAGCATCTGCTTCTACTTCAGGTTCAGTATTTGGAGCTCCTGCCACTTCTAGCTCAGTGTTTGGAGCATCTGCTTCTACTTCAGGTTCAGTATTTGGAGCTCCTGCCACTTCTAGTTCAGTTTTTGGAGCAACTGCTTCTAACTCAGGTTCAATATTTGGAACTCCTGCATCTTCAGCTGCGCCACTGTTCGGATCTACTGCGTCATCTTCGGGCTCTGCATTTGGGGCACCCGCATCATCTGGCTCTCTATTTGGAGCGCAAGCCTCATCCGGAGGTTCTGTGTTTGGAGCCCCCGTTTCATCTAGTTCAGTATTTGGCACTCAAGTTTCCTCATCTGGTTCTGTATTTGGAACAAACTCTTCGTCTGGCTCAGTTTTCGAAGCCCCAAGTTCTACAGCTTCCGTATTTGGAGCCGCTTCTCCTTCCGTGTTTGGGTCGTCTTCTGCCTCGGGCTCTGTCTTTGGGACGGGAAGTGTTTTTGGTGCCAAGCCCGCCGTGAGCGCAGGCTCGGTGTTTGGAGGAGGCGGGTCTGCGTTTGGTGTTGGTGGCTCAGTATTTGGGGGCGCAGCGCCCGCCACATCCTCAGCATCAGTGTTCGGAGGTGCGCCTTCCGTCGGAGCTTTTGGTTCTGCATCAAACACAGGCAAGCAGCTTAGCTTTTGCTTTTTGGAAAAATATTGCAGTAAAGCTATTTAATTGTCTGTTATTATAATGGAATTCATTTTGAAATTTGAGTTAGGATTAATCTGGCGGTAAAAAGAAACTGGTCTATTCTTATACAACTTATTGACACACAAGAAAATTCAAATTTCCAATTAAAATTGTAGAGCGCAGTAAGTTCTTTTTAATTCATTTATGTATTTGCTTGCAGTGTGTCGTATTTGCATTTTTTTAAGCATTGCCTGAGTTTGATATGTATGAATTGTATTCACAAGTCATTGTTTCACATCAGGAGGCAGTGTGTTCGGTGGAGGGGCTTCTTTTGGAGCGTCATCTTCGTCCGTGTTTGGTGGATCCTCGAGTAAGGCATCATGAATTTGTGTTCTAATTTGTTTTAGTTATAGTTGATGGGCTTAAGTTATGATACGATCTTGGTTTCATTTTAATTTTTTTTATTACCGATGCAAATTATTTCTTAAGATGGAAATACTGGACTGGAAATAGGCACATTATTTCATTTCAAGTACCGTAATTGCTTCAACCCTTGTAAATTTGTTGAGTTGGGATAGTTTATATTTGAAATAAATTGATTTTCTATTGTTATTTCCATTCGCATATTTCCTTGTCAAAATGCCTCAAACTAGGGTTTTTATTCATCAATGAATATCATATTGGACTAACGAACACTTATCTCCCTAAAATGATTTTATATTTTTTGCAGGTTCTTCTGGTGGAGCATCGTCTTCAATATTTGGGTGAGTTAGAAGTGACCTCAATCAAACTAGTTGATATGTTATAGTGGCTCAGAAAGCATCACTTATCATGTTAGATATTCATCAGTTAACCAAACAACAAACGTCAAGTTATTGTAACCTTTGAAGAGGGGCAGGATCTTTGGTGTAAGTGGAATTGGAGTGACTAACCGGGGCCAATATTTATGCCTCGTCAAGAGTACTGCTATGTGATGACTGTACTGCACGAATACAACTCCGTTGTATTCGTGAAAGATGTCAATGATGGATGTAACTGCCTCTTTTTGAGAGACACTTCTTCATGATAAATGTCACTGCCTCTTGATTAATGTTAGTAATCTTTGATGAATGTTTCTCTTTCCTGATAAATGTTACTCACTCAGGATGAATGTCGAAGCCTTTTGACGAATGTTTCTGCCTCTTTTGACTAATATCACGGCTTCTTTTAATGAATATCATCTGCTGCAGTGAATCACATCGCGCACATTCATCATTAATATGAAGACAGATGCTGACTGAAAAAAACTAAGCTTTCTGATTCCAGGCTCTACTTTGCACAAGTTAAGTCACCATCTTACCTCATAACCGCTTTCGCACTTCAACATCCAAGACATGACTTATACAAACACTAATTAATGTAACTCCATACTTTGTGTTATGTTATCACATACCAAGTCAAGTGGTATTTGAAGTCTGCCATGCCTGCCCAACTCTAAGTTTTAGCGCCATTCATACCTCTTTGCATCCTTTCTCTTTCATAATAAAAATTTTCATTAAATAATTATCTTCGTAAACTTTTTTCCACTCTGTCACTCTGTAATTTTTTTATGAAAGAGAAAATGCATTGATAATTTCTGACATCAGAGGTGGCGCCATTCTGAGCGGGCTTGGCAGCTCTACCCCTGCCAACCCGCCAAGCAAGAACGTCTTCGGCATCTCCAGCTCAGCTGTCAAGCCACAGACTGGTGAGGCTCTCAACAGAAAACTGATTGTTTCCTTTATTCATACTCTCTTACGGTTACTTTTTAATCAAAACTGAATAGGAAGCCGAGTTTGAATTACTTCTGTTGTCACTCCAGTTATCAGGAGCTGTACTATCAACACTCGCTAAGCTCCCGCAGCGGCCGATTTCTCGTGTGTGCTTGTTAGATTTATCTTGAAAAGCCGTCATATTTGCCTGACGGAGGAACGATCTCGTAACAATTTGTAATGTTATAATCCAGGCCTCTACGAAAATAACAACATAGCCGGATATTAATGTCTGTAAAATAAAGATAGATGCTTCAGTGTCTCCCTGCTTCAGATCTCTTCGGAGGGTCTGGTGGTGTGGCTTCGCCGTCTGTCTTTGGCAGCGCCTCAGCCAGCCCGCTCAGTAAACCTGCTTCAGGTAAAGCAATAATGTGCAAGTCTCCTCATTTAAGAAGTTTAATAATGTGTGCAGTTTTATGCAGCTTATTCTCGTCACTACCAGCCATGAAAGTCTACGAGCATGAGTACACCCCTGAAATTATAGCATCATAAAATGAATTACTCGTCAGTGTGAGGCATGAGTCAAAAGTTATGAAAAAAATTTTCCTACGAACTATTTATAGGTTGATGCATGTCAAGACCTAAAATGCGTGTTAACACGTTGACTCCGAAGTGGTACATATGCGTACCACGAAATGTATTTCTCCAGGACGTAGTGGTACAGAATTCAGGTTGCCTGAACACGTGAACACGTTGACTCCGAAGTGGTACATATGCGTACCACGAAATGTATTTCTCCAGGACGTAGTGGTACATAATTCAGGTTGCCTAAAACCAGCCAAATCCCAGAACAAAAAAGGCCGATAACTCAATATATACTAGTTTATTTGTAGGTTCCGCTATAAAATTTCCATTTTTCTCTTTGCAGTATTCAAAATTCAATTAGGAAGTACCCCTAGCATAAATTTTAGCCGGCTAACGCAATCGAGAAAAACTAAATCACGGAATTTGTCTGGAAAAAATAACTGTCTGGCAACCCTGTTTAAAAACAGTACTACAAAAATTGAAATAATAGTACAAGATGAAGCAATCGGAGTCAACGTGTTAATCATGTTAGTTCATTGATAGCATTTGAATGCTCAACTGAGTTGCAGTGTAGGAGCTCTGTATAATCTATGACTTTGGATTTGTAGACTGAAAATATTATTCTTATGTGCAGTGGAAATTGATAATATAATTAAAAGCGGTTAAACAAATTTAAACAAACAACAAATGCTTGAAGAAAACATACAAGCAGTACATTACACAATCTGTTATGATGATTATAGTATCGAAATTCTTAGTGAGTGCGTTTATTTGAGACGTGTCGACTACCATATACCTAAAGCAAAGCACAATCTGAATTTGGTAATGTACCAACATGTCATGTTTCCATTCATAGCTAGAACGATCTTGCAACAGTGGGCAATGCATGTACATGTTTAGCTGAAATGCCCATTAAACGAGAGGTAGATCTCTCGAGCTTGACTATATGCATATGTAGTAGTAGATTCTATGTATAATATTATAGTAGTCCTAGACTTGAGGTACAGAGCGTGACTATAATAACATTATTCCCTGTGCAGCGTTCGGGGCAGCTCCGACCTTCGGATCGCCTCCCAAGTTTGGCGCGAGCCCCGCGTTCGGCAGTCCACCGGCGTTCGGGGGCAGCGTGTTCGGGGGGAATAGCGCGGCTGCCGGTATGTTATCTTTCATTTATAATATTTTTTGTTTAATGAACCTACGCATAACCTACGTTCTCATCTGCTACCAAGTTGAGATTTATGATATCGAGTTCTTGAGTGCAATACGGTGTGTATTGTCTTTTCACCGTAATGACATTTCAAGACATTCAATTTCTTGATATTGCCATTATCATGGTTCTTGATTAGTTTAATTGCTGATATATTGTTAATGAATGCTAATAGTGTTGAAAACCGAATGTATTTCCCTATGTCTTATATGAACGATACAAATCGTTCCGTTAGTTGACGTCTGCAGCTTCTACATGTTTCTATTTCGTTTTAGCCTCGTACAAAGTTATGCGTGTAAAGCTGCGCTTAGCTTACCCGGCTTAGTCATATTTACGGCCTGCTGTTCTTTCGCAGCGTTAGGGTGGCACAATATCAGGTGTGATCAAAATAATGAAAACTATGACTTCGGAGTCTCTTCCGTCTAATTCTAACTGTTCCTTAGTATATAAATTTTCTTAGTGTTAAGTTTGGTATAGTAAATTAGTACAAACCCGTGCGTTTCGTGTGTATTAATCGCGTCTTTTGTAATTGGGTAATTTATGCAAATTAACTATCTCTTACTCATTTGAACACGAACATCAAAATTAAGAGTGAAAGATAAAGTGCACATAAAAGTGAACTTTGTGCCTTAGAAAACCTCCTGTGAATACTCGTCATTATCAAGCTGCACGATTGGCAAGAGCCTGACAATCACATCGTTGATGACAAGCAGAGTGACTGGCAACTCCTTAACGCTTTCGAATGTTTCCGATTATTTGAAGTGAAAGTTATGCGTACTGCCGACGGACTAGTGAATATCTGCTTAAGGTTCACAAAAAAGACGATAAGATCCATCTTACAAAAATTACTTGATCGTCGACAAATTTCCGATGACTGTACAAAGTACAAGATGGCGTAGCCCGCCTGAATGACTGTATTATTATTTAGGCCTGAAGTATTTTCTATTACAGGGAGCTCCGGCGCTACAGGAGGTTTCAGCAGCTTTGCCAACGCCACAGGCACCGCCACTTTTGGAGGACTGGCTGCCAGCGGGTAGGTCTTGCTGTCACTATGTCACTGTAACTATATGAACATCTTCTTTGGGATAAGTTAGGCGTATATGGCCCAAGCCTGCATGCAATATTTTGTACCTAAACATTAAAATTTGTAAATGTTAAGCTGTCCTCTGATGAGTTGCATTGGTTCCCCTTGGCAGCAGCAACAACAGCGCGTTTGGCTCTTCGTCGAACTCCAACTCTCCCTTCGCGTCTGGCGGGTGAGTGGCTGCTAGAAATTTCGCTATAAACTCGCTGAGAGCTTAAAGATGGATGGTCGGGGAAATTTACTTTCTCCTCATAAAGCAATTGAGTGAAGTATTTCACTATGAACACCGTGCGCTGAACTTCTTTCGTGAAACATCTTCAGATCGTTCCCTAGTCTTAAATTATACTTGAATTATGTGACTTGACGGTAAGTATCTGAAGTCTCGTAGCTTGAGTACAAATGATACTGCTAAACAATTTTTTCGCTTCCATGAAACGTTCATTCATGCCTGAACACTTATTTAAAAATAATCATTTATGAATGTTTGCCAGAACGAAATAAGTTGCTAGCGAGAAATTATTGTTGCGTGTAATTGAGTGAAATCTCCATATGTGCAGGAGTTCCTTCACGAGCTGGCGTTGAGTGTGGCAACGGAGCGCTGCGCTGCGACCTTCTTAGTATTTAGTGACGCTTCAAACAAATTAATTTCCTATGGCGTTTTGAACTTCTTTGCCGGCATATAACAAGAAACAATCGAGGGTTTTTCGACTTTTACTAAATTATTAATATTTTATCATGAGGAACTCTTACAAAAATTTGTATCAATTTGATAAAAAACTATTTAGAAACGGTATTTCTTCAAAAATTTTAGTCCATCAAACTTCTAGCCTCTTATTTTGTGTTAGAGAATAAATCTGATTGCAGTTTAGTACAAAAAAAGGAGGGCGTTTATTTCTCCTTTCAAACGGGCATTTTTATTCACTTTTTCAGTATAATTTCTCTTGTCTTCTAAGCAGCACGAGATTATGCTCGTTGTTACATTATAAAATTATTTGTCTATGTCTGCTGTTAGTCCCCAGAAAAATTACAAATAATAAAAATAAAAAATAATCCCCTTGCATTACTATTGAACGTATCGCGACAATGTTGCTATTCCTAGAATCCTATCTATATCAATCCTCGGTAGAATTCTGCTTATTGTTTCCTGCCTGTAACTATTGCTTAAATTATTGTCCATCAGATAACATGAGCCTAAAAACTTCTCTCGAAGTTGAGTTGATATCACATATGAGCCAATTAGGTCATGAAACCTTTGTTTAATAGTGTCGCGTGTGATAGAAAAAGCCAAATGGCCAAAGGTGCACTTGGTTTGTACGAACGTTGGGCAATGCTCTAGCCTAGAAAGCACGATTTCTCGCCTAATTTCGTTCGCTATTAATCGTAACTCAGAAAAGCTGATTAAAACTCTTGAATTAATGGTATATGCTGAAATATGTAAAAACTTTTGCAGCTCTAATGACTGAGCCCCCGGCTATCGTCGCTGGCGCTCACCTTCATAATTAATCGTCCCATACCTTAATTTTTCTGTGCCATTATAGCTATTTGCAATTAGAAATGAAAAATTCATAAAACCTGAAATCGTTTATCAACTATCAATGCGAAGGTGCAATTTTTCAACTCGCTGTTGACGCAAAGTTTTGAGTCCCGTATTTTATTTCTCAACAATCCAACTCTTAACATCAATGCCCAGCCAATAGTTTAACAAGGAAGGTCTGTTTCAGCGTTGATACCGTTTTTACATTAACTATTGGAGCTTCGTCACCACAAAAACGCCTATTCTCACGTTCTATCGAGGTACTATATATTGTTTCGATTTATCTTTCATTGATTTTTTCCACTTGTCTATGCTAATATAATTTAACTCTTTCGCCCTTCAAAATATCCCACTGACAGCCACGGTTGTCCCCTCCGTCCCACCATTGACATAGCCTACTATAAAGCACAGCGGTTTCAGCGTTTATTAGGCCGTAGGCCTGTCGCCGATCCTTAATATCGCAGAATATTCTCAGCTTGTTGTGGTCTCGAACTCACAACTCACTGCTCCAAATTCTGCTGTGCTGAACCGCCCGCCCTCCTCGCCGATTCTGATCAGAAACTTAATGAAACTTAATTCTGTAACCACTGGGCCACTGTTAGACTTCTCGACTGTTCTTTCAAATTCTGCGCCATTGCTATAATGCCTTGCATTCAAATTAATTTTCGAAAAATTTATTGAGGCAGGCAGTCGTTCATGTTGACGTTGGCTGCCGAAGTCGAAATTATGTCTATTTACAAAACGATATTATTAGCTAATGAAAAATGGCACTGGAAAGTTACAAGGGTAGATTTTGGTATTTGGTAATGAGATTTATTTATCCAGTATAGATATGTGTTTCAAACGAAATCCGTAACTATTTGATTAGAGTTCCTATGTGTTAAAAACTTATCTGGGGGTTTTCTGATGCTTTTATCCACTTTACTCTTTCACAATGCCTAGAGAACTAAAACCAATTGATCCGCCCCTAGGCTCCTGCCAGGGCTGAACGTCTGTAGAATTTTTCGATTATTTTTACTGTTGGATTCTGTTGCCACGATTTAATAGTACTATCTTGTAAAAGTTCTCTCAATTTATTCTTAGCGATAGCGTATTGGCTCATACGAGTAAATTTTCAACTAAGTATTCAAATTACCGAAGAGGAAATAACGAAACTAGCAGCCTAGATTCAGTCTACACTTGCTGGTTCGAAGCGGGCTCAAGCGGCCAAGCCTATCGTCAAAAACAAATTAATGCTTGTCAATACAAACCGTATTCAAGATGCGTAGGTACCAATCATGGAAAATCTGGAAGACTGGAATTTAATTTTTCATTTTCCAGGCCTAAAAAGTACTGGAATTTGATTTCAGATTATGGAAAATACTGTAATTTGCAAATAAAAAAAGAAGTAGGTATTTTTCTGTGCTGTGTGTGACAGTGAGTTTGTCACTCACTGCAGTGATACTGAGCTATACTTTTTAATTTTTATCTCATTATCTGTGATTTCGTTGCCTGCCATTGAGAGAACTGCATAAAATGAAACGCATTTGCGGAGCAGGAAGCTCCAGTACCTCCCTGAAGTTCCAGCTAGAATATTATTGATCCAACACCAAGAATAGATATCAGTTGAAAGTATCTCGACAGACAAGGCTGTGAGATTTGTGTTTTTTTATGGTGGTTATTAGAAACTAAGGGCTTTTCCCCGCTAACCCTACGCGCCACTGTGCAGAGAGTGGATGAATATTGCAAGATCTTTGGCGACGCTTTAGTAGCCAGATTTTTGCCTTCAGAAGATCTTGCCGACACATTTAATTGAAATTCTTGCATTTAATATATTTCTCAGTCTACGGCCAACTATTTAGAAAAAAAGTAAGGTTTCCGGTGCGTTGGATGGAATACGATGCAGCGAAGCTTGTCCGGAAATCAGTTGCGATGAGTTCCCGCAAAAAATGTAAACAATGTTTTTTTGATTGCGTAGTTTCGGTCACATTTGAGCGGTCAGACTGCTTTATTACATGTTCAGTTGACACTTGCTGTACAATCGGACTGTTATTTATTAAAATTAGTTATTTGGGGTAACACGTGCTTGCAACCTTGTAACTAAGTTCGTGGCTTGTAAATAGTTCGTCATTACTCAGCAGAAATGGCTTTTCATTAAAAATTACCCGGCGACGCATCTTTAAAATGGCCGGCGACGCTTTGGGCTTAAAAATCCATATATTGGCGATGCTGCATCCACCCTCTGCATAGTGGCCTACGCGATTTACGATTAGCTTTAAACTTTTTCTGCAGTCTTGTTTCCTGCGTTCCGACTTCCGATTGGTTCTCCAATCACGTGACCGTTGGTCATGCGGTTGGAGAACCAATCGCGTGACCGTTGGTCATGCGGTTGGAGAACCAATCACGTCATTCACATGAGCTCGGTCACTGGGCTCAGTTGCATTCGAAACCATAGTGACAAACCAGAGATTTTTTAGAATCAGTTCATTTTAATTTCCTCATTTACTCAAGATTTTAACCAATTTCTTAAGTATGATAATGCTGGTATCCATGACACTTTACTGGTCTACTTATAAGTTATAGGACTCAAAAATGAACTTGAGACAGAGTCTAAAAAACTCTCTGCTTTGCCACTATGTTCGAAACTATTTGATGTGCAGTGGCAGCCTTCCATCTTAAACGTGCAATTTCTACATTGCCATGCATGGAAAGTGTAAATTTCATGACTTGTGGTTAAAAATAGAAGCTTTTCATGACTGGCTTGCTTGCCATCCCAAGCATGAAGGTATGGCCAGGATGGAATTCTAATTTCGGAGGTTCATATATTATTTCAATCCACCAAGACCACTTCTTCTATCCAACATTGTTATTTGAGGCAAAAAATGAACTTCTTAAAGGCTTACAACACGCACGCTAACTTGCTCAGTTTCTATAAAGTACCTAATCACTTGGAAGTTGTAAACCTGCATCTATCACTCAACAATTAAAATTAGACTTATAAAAAGTATTAGTTAGTTGAAAATTTGTCTCTTAAGTTGACCGCAAGTCCGCAATGAACTAAACTTCATTAAGTAATTATAACTACGCTGCAAAGCAGAGTTTCACACACACGCACACTAAACATCATGCACACTAAACACGCAATTCAGAGTTCAGACAAACGGAACTATATATCACGTGGGCCAGCTTGCAACTGAATTAAATAGGTACCTACTAACTTATTTCCCGCTCCCGGTGCATTTCTAGTGGGTTGATCAATCGTATACTTAATTCATATACGATTGTATATGAATTACGAATTAACTAATCATTCGTATACTTAGTGCAAAAGAATGAATAATTATGTTGTTTCTGATCAAACAAGCGAAAACTTTTTCTGTTTCTGATCAAACGAATGAAAACTTCTGATCAAACAAACGAAAACTTCTGATCAAACGAACGACAACAAACTTTTTCGAGATAATTCTAAAATCGTAAGCCGTAACGTCTATTGAATTCTATGAATTCTAATACGGATCGTTAATTTTAACATTGTATTTCCAAAAATCAATTATTACATTTCTTTTAATTGAAAAACATCCTTTTACATAAAAAACAACGAATTTTTTCTTACAGCTCCTCAGGAATGATGAATGAATGCTCCTCATATTGACAAATGACGATCTTACTCTTATAGCTAAAAATTTTAAATTGAATGATTTTGTCATTTCAAAGACTCCATTGATTACAGAACTTTAGTTTTTGGAAGTGTATTCAAGAAAAGTTCCTGAAATAGTAGAAACATTTCCATTATCATTCTGAAATAGAAGCGTCATTTCCGTTCTTATATATAAACAGGATTAATAAAATACCTATCAAATTCATCCAATGTCATTCAATTTGTGATGTATGAATGACAGTTTTACTTTGATTCCTATGATGCTCATTTTTACCGGTTGAAGCTTATAGAATTAAATTAAATTAAAAAATTAAATAAAATTGAATTTTACTGAATCAAAATTTATTATTTAATACACTAGATGGCACATGCTGTAGAATTAAATTCTATTAGAAAAATGTTGAATTAAAAATCTGATTATATTTTTTAAATTAAAAATTAATTTTTATTGTATTAAATTGTATTATTAATGAACTATATGGTACGTGCTTGATGTTTTATATAATGAAATAGTTTCCCATGTTAAACAACGAAAATTTTCTAAAAGACACAAAACGTTCGAAAACGCGGGATGGCAGACGAAATCATTCA